CATCTGAGTTCAGCAAGAAAAACAATATTACTTGACTAATTAAACATTTGGTGAAGAAAGAAACAAGTGCTTCTGAAAGTGAAAAAGTTCTTTGAGAGTTAGACTCTCAAAGAAAAGCTGTTTAATGCTTAAATATAGTCAGGCTCTTGAGCCACTGATAGAATTCAGCAAAAATTGTGAAATGAATGTATAATTTCCTGAAAGAAAAAAGATGCCTCCTAGATTTTCACAGAGAACCCTCAACAGTACTAGAAATCTGTAATAATATTGACAGATGTCTCGCAACTAAAGACTAAAAGCATAGCCAATATTGATTGTTATCTGATTAATCCTTAATCATATTAAATAATGTTTAGGTGTCAAATATGTTGAAGCATTTGCCATGTAAAAACTTAATATTAACATTTAAAGAACCAATATTCTTCAGTCTTATCCACACATACAAATTTATAGAAGCCACACAATTGTTTTATTTAGATGTACTTTATTCTAAAGAACATCTAAAAGGAGACAAAATTATTTCTCCTAATTCATAAGCTGTGAAACAATGACTTTCTGAATATATGATAGCATATGAAATGTGTTGTATCAAGACCTCTTCTTGTTATTGTATTGGAAAATGAAGTATTAAATGAACAGAACTCTGAAACTGAAAACTCTAGTCATGTTAAGTTTATTCTTTAATATCTGGCAGAATTATGATGTGTCATAGTCCTTAAATTTTTATTATTTTCCCCTTGTTTTTGGTAATTTCAGGAAATTCATACAAGTTTCAAGCTGGGAATAGAATGAATGCAATGCAGTGGTTTAAGCATTTGAGTGCAGCCTGCCAAAGTAACAAACAACAGGTAAGCATTTCTCTTAATTCTCAGAATAGTCCATAACTTGGGAATATATTTCAGAGTTCCAAAGAGAAGTAAGTAGACTAGTTCTGAATTAACTAGGAGAATGGCATTGTTTTTATTCTTTTTCTTGTTGACAACAGTCAGTAACACATGAATATCCTCATTTTAATGAGAAGCTAGACAATAAACAAGTAAATAAAATTTCAAACAGTAAGAACTATGTACAGAAAACAAAATACAATTATGTGATGCAGAGTGATGGGAGTAGAGTCAACTTTTAATAAATAAGGGTAAACAGCAAAGGTCTTCCTGAGAAGATGAATGACAAGAAGGATCGGGGAGAGCAGAGTGCTGGGAAAGGGAACAGCAGGCGTGAGGGCCCTGCAGCTGGAATGAGATTAAGGTGTTCAAAATAGAGAAAGGTGACTGGCACAGTGGGAGTGTACAGTGAGAGTGTAACTCTGTAGAAGGGGTAAAAATTAGATGGCAGTTTAATAAAAATTATTCTGATTTACCTTTGTTTGACCTATTGACAACTGGATATGGGGTTCCTGTGGCTGCAGTGAACAAAGGCCACTTATTTGGATTTTGTTTTTACTGTACTGAAATAAAGATGGCCTAATCGAAAGGCTTTCAGTTGCAGAGAAGCCGTCCACTGTTTTCCCCAAACCCTGTTGCAGAGTTAGAATTGAACCACAGATTGGTAGCACAGTTATAGAAATTTCTACAGATTTTTTGTAGAACCAGTTTCTAATTAAATATGTTTGAAAATCATTGACTGTGGGTTTTGATAATACAAAAGTATACAGTGTTATCAGTAGATAATTTTGAATAATATAATGCACTGTATAAGTTTAAAGAGCTTATAAAAGTATTTTTTACCCTGCCATAAAAAAATGTGATACCAGGATATAAGTTGTCACCCTTCTTTGATGGATGGAGAAAGCAAGGCTCAGAGACGCTCAGTGACTTACACAAGTCAAACAAGAAAACATGGTGGACCTGAGACCCAGACTCTTATCTTCATTTTGTTTAGGTCCATTCTTTTTAAATATTGTTGGAGTAGGCTTTGTTCTCTCATAATTTTTTAAAAGTATACGTGAACAACTAATCGCAGCATTTGGTACAATTTTTAGCAACCTCCATAAAGATCATGAAACGCCAAAGAGCAAAATCATTTCCTCGCCTTGTCAGGTTAGCGTCTGGGGCAGAATGAGAGAGACACACCCTCTCTGGCCTAGAGCAGGCCTTTCCGGATTCGCTTTCCTGCCATACATTTCTCTAAATGTAGCTTAAGTCTCATTTTTTAAAAATCTCAGATTCCAAGATTAATCTAGACAGTATATGCACACCAGCATAGAGGTTGCATTTCTTTTACTGTATTAGTGGACATTCCTGCTTAATAAGTCAACCAGATGTGTATAAATGTTTTTATTTGTTTTTTATACTTACAAGAATTGTAGTAGTAGCATATGTATAAATAGAACCTGTGAAATTTTTAGTAGAAAACTCTGACTCAAATGGCAAAATACCTTAAACCACGTTCAGGCAACTTAGAAAGAAATGAAGCTATTACTTTATTTAAATATGGATTTCTTATAATCAGACCCGATAATTTATATTTTAAGCACTTGAGCATTCTTGTTGCATTTGGTTTATTCAGAAGCTGACACATGTAAGGTATTTGTGTTGTGTAGTATGTCAGGTTTCAGAGAGAAATTGCTAACGCGTGAGAGCTGTTAAGCTGTCTTAGAGGGTAGGGGAAGACCACTGGCATGAGTGTCTCTGCTGGCACAGCTTTGGAAAACTGGTTTTAAGGATTAAGAGCATTTTCTTTTAACATGGTGAAACCTTCCTTAGTTCTTTGACTAGAGGACTGATCAACTAAGTTTAAAAAAAACATTTCAGAGAATTATTAACTGAATTTCACACTTATGAGAAGTTGAATAAAATATGATCCAATCTGTAAGCAGTGAACTGTTATAAAAACCCATTGATTTTTCAGAGTCACAAAGTGTCGGATCAGAATTTATCTAGTGAGTTTTATTCTTTTATACATATTTTCATGGGGATTTCACAAAGAAATTCTTAGTAATGTTTGTTATAAAATTATTTGTGCTGGTCTTTAAAATGTGCATGCAGGAAATTTTTTAAGAAATATAATGAGAAAATAGGTGATGACGAGCGTGTTTGTCGGGAATCTCACCCAATGTAGGTATTCTTTCTTCGTTCATTCATTCAGTGAACGTCTACTGAGCCCCCGTGTTAGTTAGACAAGAAAGATACTGTCTCTGCCCTTTCTCCTGTCTGGATGTCAGTTTACTAGAAATAGTAAACTCACTTCAGTGATGTTTCTCTTCCAAAATGTTCCAGTGTGTTATATTCATTTTTCATAAATTATTGAAATACCTTCTATAAAATTCCTTTTAAAAGATACTTAGGTAGGCCGGGCGCGGTGGCTCACGCCTGTAATCCTAGCTCTCTGGGAGGCCGAGGCGGGAGGATTGTTTGAGCTCAGGAGTT